ATTGTGAAGTAATCTCTTAGTGAGGAATAAAATGAGTAAACTTTTTTCATTTCGTAAATGCTATATTATGTTATTTATGTCAACGAAATTTTTATATTTCTAAATGTTGAAAATTTTCAGAAATTGATCTATGGACATAAAGCACATTATTTAGTTTATTTTAACGGGAGAATACTTAAGTATATTTTTTTTCATTTCATTTATTTATTGTTTATATGTTATACAGAGTTTACAATAATTTTAATAAATAAAGTAAAGAGTTTAGCCGTTTTTGACTTTTCAGCTTAAATATTATAATACATTTTAAAAGAAACTGTTTAAGAATATCGTTTTATATTAAGGAAAAACTACAACAAAAAACCTTATAAGAAAAAAAAAAAGTTTTAAAATAAAATGTTAGTAGATAAAATTAATTTTTTAGGAATTTAAATTCTTAATGTGTTCATAGGGTGAATTCGTACATCTATCATAAAATTTTTGAGTTATAATGTATATTTGATCCTTAACTAACTGGATATTAGATAGTGAGTGAAGACTTGCCGTTGAAAAATAAAATGGTAGATTATAAAGCATTTTTAGAATCTTATTTTGGCTGATTTGAAGCCTTTTAATGTGACAGTCAGAAGTGTCATGCCAGGCTGGTGCTGCATAGAACATTATTGCCTGGAATATAGCTTTAAAAATTAGAATTTTGTTTTCTATATTTAACTCGGATTTCCGATTTATAAAAGGATATAACAGTTTCGTAGATATATTGATTTTGTTAATGATGTTACCAACATGATCATTAAATAATAATTTTCTATCGAGAATAACCCCTAGATATTTAACAGTGGTTTCCCAGGGAATTTCAATTCCATCTACTATAATGTTGTATTGGGGTAGAAATCTTTCAGCTCTCTTTCTGGAGAAGAAAATTGATTGAGTTTTATCTGCATTTACCATTATTCTCCACTTCTTAAAGTAATTGACAACTGTATTTACCGATCTTTGAAGTTTACACAAAATATCGTTAGATAAGTATTCTGAGCTTAAAATTGCAGTGTTATCCGCAAATATAGAAGATTCACAGCCAGACAGTAGTGGAAAATCGGATGTAAAAATATTGTATAGCAGGGGTGAAATACATGAGCCTTGCGGGCAACCTGCGGGAATATCATATTCTTCTGAATATTGTCTTCCAATATGAACACGAAATGTCCGATTAGTAAGGAAACTTTTAAGTATCTTGATTAAACGTGGATTTAAGCCTATATTGACCAATTTGTATATGAGACCATCATGCCAGACTGAATCAAATGCAGATTTTACATCTAATAATATCATAGCTGTGGATTTGCCTTGATTAAAATTTTCCTTCACAATTTTTTTTATTCTGACTAAGGGCTGTGTCGTGTTATGACCAGTACGGAAACCAAATTGTTGAACAGGAAGTATATTATTATCCTCAATGAAATTTAAAATCTTCTCCTTAATAACTTTTTCTAAAATTTTACTCATTGTATTCAAAAGACTTATTGGTCTGTATGAATTTGGATTAGAATGATCTTTTCCAGGTTTAGGAATAGCAATAATTTTAGATTTTTTCCACTCAATTGGAAAGAGGCCTAATTTTAAACAACCATTAAGGAGGTGTGTAAATAGTTGAATGCCTTTTTTTGGCAAAGCTTTCAAACATTTATTTGAAATGCCATCAATACCTGGACTTTTCTTATTTTTTCAATTTTTTATTATATGTCTAACAGTTGAAACATCTATAATGAGTTGATCACTATTCGACAGCTCCTGACTACACAATGATCTAATAGAGTTTGAAACCGTTTGGATAGTATCAGAGTCACTCAAGCTAGAAGAAATAGAATAGTTCAAATGAAATTTTTGAGGTAATATTTCACATTTTTCAGGATTTGTTGTGTATAAATTACCGTTATACTTGAGGCTTGGGATAGTTTTAGTTTAATTCCGGATAATTTTAGAAATGTTCCAAAATTTCGGAGAAGATTTATTGAGACCTTTTAATAGGTTGTTCCAATTTGAGTTTCTGAACTCTAAAATACTATCACGGATAGTATTATTTAAAGCAGTAGTTTGTAATTTAAAAATCGGAAGTCGATATCTTAGCCATTTTCGTCTCACACGGTTTCTATGGTTTATCAAAATTAGGATATGAGCAGGTAGGCGTTTGACAAAACAATTAGACATTGTCCTCGTTGGGACACTTGAATCGATGGCGTTATGAATTAATAGAGTGAATTCCATTACTAGATTTTCAATGTCATTCGTATTATTTAATGGTGCATCCAATAGGCAATTGATATTATTTTCAATAAATCTCTGGAAAGAGTTCCAATTTGCATTCTTATAATAGTATTTGATGTTATCAGTGGTCATACAACTTGCATTATAAGTCGTGGATACAGGTAAATGATCCGAACTTAATCCGTTAAGGGTAAGGGCTGCTGAAAGTTTATTAGGAATATTTGTTATAAAAAAATATAAAACGGAAGGATTTGCTCTATTATTAGCAGGAATCAAGGTGGGTTCTGAAGGATATATAATGCTAAAATTGTTTGTGGTAATTAAATCGTTCAGTATGTTCCCCCAACAATTAGCTCGAACACAACCCCAACTTTGATTTCTGCAGTTGAAATCACCACCCAAAATATAATTTCCCCTAAATCTAGAAAACTTTCTAAGATCGGATTTAAATTGTGTTTTTCTAATGCTACATGAGTCCGAAGAACCACCGGGAAAGTAACAACTAAAAATAGTAACATCAGTATTTTCATTAAGTTTTACATTAATTCCCAAATTCTCTATTAATTGATGGTATAAGTTCATGTTTGATGTTTTTGCGCACCACTATAGCCACACCACCACCTCTAGAGTGTTCACGATCTTTACGATAACATAATTAATGTTGATGATACATTGAAATTTTATTGTTCAAACCAGTCTCACTCACTAAATCTATATCAACGTTTTCACGTGTTAAAAAATCGAAAAATTCAATGATTTTATTACGAATTCCTCTAGCATTCCATATTTGAAAGCTAGATCAGTAATAACATTAAACTGATCACTTTTGGATTTACATTGTTTTAGTTTACTTATTAATTCTAATGTTAAAGTTTTAAGTTCTTCTAGAGAAAATAAATCATTAGAAGTGTTTTTTACTGGTTTAAATTTTTGACGAACAACATCGGCAAAGGTATCATAATTATTATTATTATTGCTGACATTATTAATATTAATATTTCTAGCGCGAATGATTCCCTGACGAGAGGAGTTATTATTTTGTTTAGAAAAGCGATTTCTTAAGCCTAAAAACGAAGATCTGCTAGGACAATTATTATCGGTAGATGCATGGTCCACATTGCAATTGGCACATTTCATAGTTAAAGAAGTACAGGATGAAGTTTGATGAGGACCAGCACACTTAGCACAGAATGTTTTAATATTGCAATTTTTTGAACCGTGGCCAAACATTTGGCAGTTATGGCATTGAGTAATTTTGTTTGGAAGTCTTGTTTGATAGCTCCATTTTACACGAATATAATTAATACTCTTATATTTGTTTTTTAGTTCTGATAAACTGATAGAACCCTTTTTGAGGTAAACAACATAAAGTATAATTTCTCGATTATTATCTGTTTTACGGTACACAGATTTAACGTCCATACACTGCAAACCGATTTTACCTAACTCGAGTTTTAACTTAATCGGATCAATTTTATCGAGACCTGATAGGATGACTTTATAAGGTCTATTATTTTTTGGTGTGTAAGTAAAATATTCAATTTTGCGACCTTGCAAAAATTTTATAATTGTGTCGTAATCGAACTGCAATTCGCAGAATAATTTATGTCCTAAAGATATTTTCCTGATGGAATAATTTGTAATACAGCTTTCTTTACAATATTTATGAATGTCATCAGTAGAACTTTTCAAAATTGTTATAGGTGGAATATGAACTTTCGGCAACACTGTGGAGGCACCCACATTTGCTTCTTCTTTTTCATTGTCATTCAATGCCTGAAGTGGATGATAATAATTATTATTATTAATATTGCCACGTTTCGATGATCCGGCAACATCATTATCAGCTGGTGTTTTCCTATTCGAACTCATGTTCAAATGGGAGAGTTTTGAGTTATAATTCAATGTGAGCTGAGTTTTGTCTCCCGAAACAGAGCAAAACAAAACACAAAAAAAATATAACACAATAAGATTTAAAATAACTGGTATTGTTGTTGTTTGACAACAATAATGATTTACCGATATTTTTCTCCAAGCAATGCGTAATCTTGACTTGTATTTGCGAGCAATCAAGGGAGACTATACTTAAGTATAATGTTATGAAACCACTTAAAACCCCGAGCAACGCCGGGTACAAAAATCTAGTAAAATATATATTTAAACACTAAATACATTTATTCAAACATTTAAAAAAAAGTTATCAATTTTCTACTCAAATATTTTGCAAATATACATACAGACTCATTTAATATGAAAATGAAAGGAAAAGCTCAAGTTTTACATTAACACAACTCCCACTCAAAGATAGGGAAATTTTCTCTAACAAATTCCTAGGAAAAAAGAAAGAAGAATATTGCAAATTAAAAAAAATCATCAAAAACAATTTCCTCTATTCAACAATTTTAAAATGCTCTCCTCTTCATTAAAAACAACATTCTTCCCACACGCCAGAAACCCGGGGTCTAAAGTCGAAAAAGTAAGTCATGATCTGTAGACTTACTTTTGTGACGTAAATTTTTCACCTAACTTCACCTTGAATGAGAACTCAAATAACCAAAATATCAAGAAAAAAAGCATTAAATAATAACTATCATAATTTTTTTAACAAATAATTGTTTTACTTTTTTGCTTTTTGAAAAAATAATATCCCTTTGTAAATCAGAATTTCTGTATACTTATCTTGGTGATGAACTGTATTTAATTGTTATAAAATATAAACATTCATAATTAAAAACGACCGCTAAATTGGAAGATATGAATACTTTATTTTACAGTAAAATTAGATAAAAAAAAATATTGACTGATGTTGAGATTATGCAAATATGACCATTTGATTCTGGATTCATTCCTTAATTAATTGCCACTCTTTCTACTAAGCAATCCACTGTGCATTACTGTTAAAAATATATAAAATGTTTATAAACATGTTATTAATTATTATTTAAATTCTTCAATATTTTTAAGAATTACATACAATTAGAGAAATTCAACTGATTCCGCTATATTTTCTGTAAAACATGTTTTATAATATAGAATAGTAGATATAGAATCTATATCTATATTAGAGCAACGCATTTTCTATGCACGCGTGCTTTTCGGACGTTACTAAATCATACATCGGCAGAGCGTAAATTTTCTTTCCACACTAACACCACTTAATTTTCTGTTTTTGCATTGAAAGAAAAGTTTTAAAATCTTTTTAGTGTTTTTTGGTGTAATGAAAATATAATTGGAATTGAAAATATTTCTCTTAATTGAAATTATTTACTTTTATTTACACGGAGTATATACTAAGATATTTTGTATCTAAAATTGCAAATAAATGCATTTTCGAGGGCGATGTTCAAAAATAATTGGTGGTGTTTCAATTTGTTCCAACCCTATTCATACAAAATCCTGACATTTCATTTTGTTGCTATTTCACTGTATACTTTACACTGTAAAGTAGTGCAGTCACTACACAAAAAACGCTAAAAAATTACAAACTTTTCTTTCAGTTCATTTAATGCAAAAACACAAAATGAAGTGGTGTGGAGAGAAAATTTTACGCTCTGTCGATGTATGACGTATGGTGTACGTTTTTAGAATTATACATTTTTGATGAATACACGTATTTTTATACCCTTCACCTTCGTGAGAAGGGTATATATAAGTTTGTCATTCCGTTTGTAATTTCTATAATACAATTTTCCGACCCCATAAAATGTATATATTCTGGATACTTATAGGTAGCGGAGTTGATTAAGCTATGTCCGTCTGTGTGTTTGTTGAAATCAGTTTTTAGAGGACCCTAGATATCGGCGAGATCTTCAATAATTCTGTTAGACATGCTTTCGAGAAGATCGCTATTTAAAATAAGCAAAATCGGTCCATAAATACCGGAGATATGAGCAAAAATCCGAGACAACCTCTGAAAATTTCATAAAAAAGACAATTTTTTTCATGCTTTGATATAAGCTACAACAACAACACTGCTTATTCATTGAGAATTTCGTTTTATATGTTTGGATGGCTGTGTGTTTCATTGCCTTGTGTATATTGTTTTTGTTTTTTGGTGCATTCAGTTTCGTATGTTTGGGTGCCTGTTGGTTTCATTGCGTTGTGTATTTTGTTTTTGTTTTTTTTTGTGTATTTCGTTTCGTATGTTTGGATGTCTGTTGGGTTCACTGCCTTTTGTATTTTGTTTTTTTTTTTTTGTGTTTATTTCGTTTAGCGTTGTTGTTGTTCGTTTTGCTATTGCTATAATAATGATATAAACGGGAATATGAAATAAATTAAAATTTTATAGAAGTGATATTTTTTAAATACACTGTGGTGAAGGGTATATAAGATTCGGTACAGCCGAATATAGCACTGTTACTTGTTATACCCTTCACATTCGTGAGAAGGGTATATATAAGTTTGTCATTCCGTTTGTAATTTCTATAATATAATTTTCCGACCCTATAAAATATATATATTCTGGATCCTTATAGATAGCGGAGTCGATTTAGCCATGTCCGTCTGTATGTCTGTTGAAATCAGTTTTCAGATGACCCCAGATATCTGCGAGATCCGAATTTTCAATAATTCCATCGGAAATACGGTCGAATAGAACGCAATTTAAAATCAGCCCAATCGGCCCATAAATAACGAAGATATGAGTAAAAATCCGAGACCACCTCTGAAAATTTCATCAAAAATTTATTTTTTTCGTGCATGCTTATTCAAAACAATAAACAAACAAAAACAAAACACAGTATCAAACGGTAAATTTTTTTTGTTATTTGTTATTGTAATTCTTGTTTATAAACACAAAGCAAAGAATGAACATCACGTTACGTTGTTATTGGCTAGAAACATGAAATTAAATATGTAGAGCCTGGATTAGGCGAGAACACATTAAAGGGCACTTTTTGGTACTTTTTCGTTCTACAAAAGGTACTATTTGAATTTTCTATAATATTGAACCTAGAAACATGAAATTTAGCATGTAGGACCTTGACTAAGTAAGAACCTATAAAAAGGGATTTTTTGGTACTTTTTCGTTATACAATAGGTACTTATTGAATTTTCTATAATGTTGAACCTAGAAACATGGTATTAAATATGTAGAGCCCGGATTAGGCCAGAGCACATGAAAGGGGACTTTTTGGTACTTTTTCGTTCTACAAAAGGTACTTTTTGAATTTTCTATAATATTGAACCTAGAAACATGAAATTAAGTATGTAGAGCCCGGATTAGGCCAGAACACATAAAAGTGGACTTTTTGGTACTTCTTCGTTCTCCAAAGGGTTCTTTTTGAATTTTCTATAATATTGTACCTAGAAACATGAAATTTAGCATGTAGGGCCTTGACAAAGTAAGAACCTATTAAAGGGGACTTTTTGGTACTTTTTCGTTCTACAAAAGGTACTTTTTGAATTTTCTATAATATTGAACCTAGAAACATGAAATTAAGTATGTAGAGCCCGGATTAGGCCAGAACACATAAAAGGGGCCCTTTTGGTACTTTTTCGTTCTACAAAAGGTACTTTTTGAATTTTCTATAATATTAAACCTAGAAACATGAAATTTAGCATGTAGGGCCTGGACTAGGGAAGAACCTATAAAAGGGGACTTTTTGGTACTTTTCCGTTCTACAAAAGGTACATTTTAATTTTCTATAATATTGAACCTAGAAACATGAAATTAAGTATATTGAGCCCGAATTAGGTCAGAACAAATACAAGGGGACTTTTTGCTACTTTTTCGTTCTACAAAAGGTATTTTTGAATTTTCTATAATATTGAACCTAGAAACATGAAATTTAGCATGTAGGGCCTTGACTAGGTAAGAACCTATAAAAGGGGACTTTTTGGTACTTTTTCGTTTTACAAAAGGTACTTTTTGAAACTTCTATAATATTGAACCTAGAAATATGAAATTATGCATGAAGAGCCCGGATTAAGTTAGAACGTATAAAATGGGATACAATTTTTTTTGGTTGGTTTTTTTTTATTTTTTTGTAATAAAATTCGTACTGACTGTTTTTTAACACATCATGGTGAAGGGTATATAAGATTCGGCAGAGCCGAATATAGTACTCTTACTTGTTCTTTATTAATATTTTTCCGTAATCGGTCAAAATATGTGTTTTTGAAAAATGTTTTTGCAAAACACCATCAAAGAGGGAAAGGTGATTTTCTTAATAAATGTTCTACAACATCGATTTCTGAAATGATACAAAATACATTAAACAAAATACATAAATTTGAATAATTCAATGGAGAAAGAGGGTACGGGTAGTATTTTTGGTACTGTGTTGGTATCTTTTATAAATATTGTTCAAATTCAATGAAATTTCTTTTATAGCTTTATAAGATCACAAAAAAATTGCAAGTAGTTTCTTTATAAGGAGACCTTCAGCATTTTTTGAAACATGAATAAATTAGGGAAAAATTAGCACTTTATGCTTTTTCAGAAATTGATCTATGGACATAAAGCACATTTTTTAGTTTACTCTAACGGGAGAATACTTAAGTATAATGTTATGAAACCACTTAAAACCCCGGGCAACGCCGGGTACAAAAATCTAGTTATATTATAATAATTACTTTGTTCAGTAGTATTCTTTCAATTTGTCACAACTTCCTTAGACCTTTTACATGTAAATAGTAATAGCTTACAATTTGTTCCATAAATCCCTTCCATTTACTGAAAAGATGACTCTTATTTGGGTGCATCATTTCGAAATTGATATTAATTAATCTATATAAAAACAGGTAGGAAAGTATAGTCGGGCATATAATACCCTACACCATGAGTATATTTTCAAAATTTTTATTTTTCATAATGAAACTTTTATGTTGAATTTTACCTTAAATTCCGAAAACAAATTTTCTAAATGAGGCTTTATGTAGGAGTATAGGTCAAACGTGGGCCGATCCTCATTAAATTTGGGAAAAGAATATATATTTTTAAATTATAGTTAGTTATGTTGAGTTTAATTGCGATACAAAGGGTTACAAGTCAATTTTAGACGTTTAAAGCATTTTTGAAGGGGGTTTGTATGGGGGCTAGGGTCAAATTAGGGCCGATCATTACGAAAATCTGCAGTGTCATTTATACTTATATAAAACTTATTTGTGCCAATTTAGAGAGATAATTGTATATTTGACGTAATTATGGCATAAAAAGTCCAAATCGGGAGTTACGGTTGTATGGGGGCTAGGTGAAATAATGGACCGATTTCAACTATTTTCAATAGGCTTCCTCCTTGTGCCAAAAAACAAGCTTGGTCCAAATTTCATAAAATTATCTTGAAAATTGCGGCTTGTACCTTGCGCACAAAGTTTACATGGACAGCCAGCCAGCCGGACAGATGGACAGACGGACATGTCTTAATCGACTCAAAATCAGAACCACAAACATCAGCACAAACGTATAATAACCCCCCCCCCCACTATAGTGGTGTAGGGTACAAATAGAAATGAAAATAATACACAATTATGAAATTTCAACACAATTCGTTTAAACATACTAGTTCGTTAGATCGTGCGTTAGAAAAAAAAGGCCAGTTCTCTGGAAATTCATAATTATTGGTAGACGACTTCAACTATTTTTGTCGTAACAAGAATGTTCTCTAGAAAGGTTAGCTTTTAAATCTAGTAAAATTGATTCAGTTCAGAATTAACTGCCAGCGAGTTAGAATTCGAAGCATCTAAATCATTGGTGGTCATAAAGAGAATTTTTAAAATGCATATGTTGTAGTGTAAAATATGAAAGAGAACATAAATGAAAATATGTGTGCTTTGCAGTGAAAAATATTATATGTTTGTACTTATTAGTGTTATTCATATTATTTGTAATATAAATGAACAACAGAGGGAATGTATACATCGATGCATGTATGTATGTATTGACGAAACGATG